TCCCGGGTTCACGCCATTCTCCTGCCTCAGCCTCCCGAGTAGCTGGGACCACAGGGGCCCGCCACTACACCCAGCTAATTTTTTGTATTTTTAGTAGAGACGGGGTTTCACCGTGTTAGCCGTGATGGTCTCGATCTCCTGACCTCGTGATCCGCCCGCCTTGGCCTCCCAAAGTGCTGAGATTACAGGCGTGAGCCACCGCGCCCGGCCATAGAAGGCACTTTTTAAGAATCACTGATGTTTAACCTAAGGATTAGAGGGGAGAAGCCTATAAAGCATAATGGCTATGTTTAACTATTTGAAGGGCTATCCTATGGAAGTAAAATTAGAATTGCTTGCAGTACCCCAAGGAGTTGTACTGATGAAACTATTGGGTTGATGCAAAAGTAATTGTTGTTTTTGCCATTGAAAGTAATGGCAAGACTGCAATTACTTTTGCACCAACATAAATATTTTTGATCAAGTAAGACAGAACCTTCTAACAGCCTTGTTTATAGATGGGGTGGCCTCTGAATAAGGTGATGAGTGCTGTATTAGTTCAGCAGGGGTTACCTATGTCCTTTTGGGCGACAGATATCATACAGGAGATTCATGTCAGTGACCAAAGGAAGTGACTGTTATAGCCCTTTCCAAACCTGAGGTGTAATTTTTAAAAACGAACTCAAGACTTTAATAGTCATAGAACCTGAGTTGATTATTATGAATTAGTTTATCAGAGTCTGAACATGTGAGTATGATGGAGACAAGCTTTGGAATACAGATAAGTTAAGTCACTGTATTCTCTCTCTCTCTCTCTTTTTGAATAGCCTTATCTTTGCCTATACACATAAACAGTGCAGCCATCAAAATTTTCAATTTACAAAATGTTCACAGTCATGCTTGTTCCTTGACTAAACACTGGGGTTGCTGCCAGTGGTAATTGGCTCAAATCCAGCTAATTTTTATATATCTATTTAGTCTGGATATTCTAGATGAGTGGCACAGTAGTTGCGGTGCTCTGGTCACTGCGCCAGAGCACCAGAGAGAAGGGTGCTCGCTGCCACTGACAGCTGTGTGTCATTTAGCAAATTATTAACATCTCTTTGGTAACATGCGACCTCAAAGAAGTCATCTAATTTCTCTGAGCTCAGTCTTCTCATCTGTTAAAAATGTCTCTTCCTATTTTTAGGTAAGTAGTATAAGTCATATCCATAAAAGATTATGTTTTTAAAAAGTCTGGAAAAAGAAAGTTAATAGACAGAATTCCTTCTCTCTAAGAGTCTGCAGATTATGAACAGTACCATAGATAAAGAGATGTTTTTGCTCTCTTACCTACATTAGTTACTATGAAAATTACTTTTGGTATATGCAGAATATTAATATTAAATAATTTTCTAATTGGTCATGCAGTGAAGGCAGCTAATGAAAAAGCAGATTTTTTTTCATTTTAATTGGTTATTTCACATGGTGTTTGTGCTACACCTGTGCTTATAATGAGAATGGAGAATTAATCTAACCTTCTGCTCACATGATTCCAATTTTCATGGTTTATACAAGATAATGATAACCTGATTTGCAACACAATTTGTTGTAGACCTGGGTTTTAAATATTTTTATTAGCAGTTCAGGAACTTCATATACAAGAACTGATATAATACGTGTTGCCAACAAGAATTAGCACGAACAGTATACCTTTTAGTTAGATTCTAGTTTCATTATTTGTTTCAAATACTTCTCAGATAATGAAAGAACACAAGGATACAGGATATTGAGAATCTTAAAATGTTATGAAGTATGCATTTTTGTTTTGAAAACCTGTCCCTGTCTGTTTAATGGTTTGGTTTTTAGGAACTATTTTCCTTTCTGAAGTGGGCAGACTTACAAACTAGAATTCATACTGGACTATGGATCCTTTAATTATTAATAGAACCTTATTAAAATTTTCATTGTATTTTTTATGTCCTGCTCAGATTTGATCTGAGTTGGGAACTAAAAGGAATTTACTATTTCAGAATCTAATATGTCCTCTTCCTTTTCTGGATTTGATATGTAATTTTTAATATTATGCAGTACAAACGGATCTGAAGAGTTAGAATCTCATGAGTATGACTTTGGAGAGCTTATATTAACTACTTTTTTACATTTCAGTGACTTGTCCCTTTTGGAGCGGCTACAAAAATAATTGTACAAAAATATCTTATTAAGACACTTAAAGTAACTTAAGTGCCTTAATAAGATGTTTATAAATTTTCAGTACTAACTGGAGAAAGCAAAATTATAAGTTCAATTACTGTATATCTGTGACCTTGCCTTGACCTCAGACTTTACATAAAGAGCAAAAAAAAAAAAAAAAAAAAAGCCACCCCAAGAAATCTCTACAAGGAATGCATTTCTCTGAAGTCCCAAGCAGTGTGAGTTAGTGGTGATAAACTCCAGACATTCTCTCATTTGATGGTGTGCTGCCATCCCAGTTCATTATCTTAATAGTGGGCATTAAAATAGAATTAGGTTTGCAAGAGGT